TTAGCATCGAAAACCAATCTGATGGATGCAAATGAAAACGATTGGACGTTAAATTGCGATTCATAGTTGGAATATGTGAGGCTGAGAAGCTTTTTGCCTTGCAGTCGCCACCGGGACCTGATTGGTCTATCATTTTAAGAACAATTCTCTGCGTACCGCATGCAGCGTACTGTACTGTTCTAGGCTGTACGTATTGTACAATATACTATAGTACAATACAACACATAAATACAGAAACTCGTGTGAGAACACCCTGTTGTCTCCTCTTCGCACTTTGCTCCTGATCCGCTATTGGTTTCGTTGTAGACGGCCAATCAAACATTTGTGGCAGATCCTTCAAGGGACGATGTCGCAGGTCAGCACGTAATCAAAATTGGAGAAATTGGCATTAATATTACAGTAAGGGAGACGTCCTGTACAAAGAATCAATCATTTTTCCTACGAGTACTGTACGGTACAGTATCACGACTTGGTATGATTTTCAGCCTTATTTAAACTCTCGCACACTTGCGATATTTACGCACTCGTTTGCTTGAGAATAGGCAAGCGCAAGTTAGCTGCGCGCTATTTTGTTTTAGACCCCTCCTGAACCAGCAAGGCAAGGAATGTGGATCGTAAAAAAAAAAAAGAAGAAAAAAATGACGCGAGAGCGTCGCATCCACATTGCCAACTTGATGTCTTACTTGGCCAAAAGGAAACTCGCTGAATCCTTTCAAAAATGCCCTCTGGTTGAAGCCGTGACTCGCCAAGTTTAACAAATTTGGATGAGCCACGTTTGTCTAATACTAAGCAAACATGCAAGCAACTTCGATCACAAAAGGATGAAAAGAGACCCGCCTAGTGCCACACAAGGGAAGTAGTCAGAACACAATGGGCGCACTAAAGATAGAACATCGCCTTTGTTTTTGGTACCAGAATCCCGGAGAACCGACGTGGCGGTGCCATAGCCTCACCATAAGCACTCTCGTAGGTGAACACAACCTAAAATAGGAAAGAGACCGGAACTGGTCCCGTACCTCATATGACCATGCGACTGCTGGATATAAGGCGCGAGTTGATGCCCACAAGATAACTCACTTTTTCATTCTATGGATCATCATTTACAGCTATTAAACATTGGCAGCAGTCAGTCGCATGATGGCGGTAGGAAACAAGACCGAACGAAGCGAGAAAAAGAAGCTCAGGCGGAACCGTGATTATGGTTTGCTGCCGAAATGCTACAAGTATGGGAGGTTGAACGGAGTCGAGCTGTTTCTTGGCATCAGGTACACGGAAAAGAACGAACTTTACACATATTCATCGCGGAAACACTTGCCCTGGTTAAATAATATTTATGGAGCTGTAAGTACAGTATAGATTGAGCTTTCAACACTATTCCTACTGATGATAACAGATGAAACAGCCCAATGCTACGAACCTTTTACCTCAGGATGTGGGTGAAAAGCAGACTCGTGGCAAGAAAGACCTCACCGATGATCGGAGCAAAGAAAGCACAAAAGACACAGATGACCAAAAGCTTTCATTCCCTGACCTTCCGATGTTCAATTTGAGCGTCCTTACTGGTAGGGTGAGATAACACAGGCGGCCGATATGAATCTGCAAAGACGCCCAAATTGATGGCCAGTGGAATTATTGTACAAAATCAATCGAGCCAGATTAGGGAATAGTATTAGAAAGTAGAACGGATACCGAGCCCTTCTTGGCCATTGCCGCAATATTATTGGTTACCGGCTGTCCGTCACGCAGAAAAGTCTCAACCGCACCTCGTTCTGCAATGCAAATTGATTGGTTCTTATGGACTCCGTCGCATTCTGCTCATGTGAGTACCTCTGCGATCCGGGCGTACCGTAGACTTTTTCTGTGTTACTGCCGTGTTGTTAAGGTGGGCATGCTTCCATTATGCAGCTCAGCTGTAAATGGAGTTCGTGCGTGCAGCGGACTCACGACCCGCGCGCTGTATACTTCAGAAATAGTATCGTTCTTAGTATTTCTTGGCGGACATGGCTGGGTTTGATTGTGAGTATGCGTCGTCATTCGATAAATTTTAGGACAAGGCGATTTCAGAAAGTTCTCAACGAACCCAAACACAATCCTTGCTCCCGGCGCACTGGACAAGACAAATTTCTGCTGAAATCGTTATCAATTGAGAAAGGCAAGAAGATAGAACCCTATTCAACTCGCTTTACGAAGCTCCTCGTCTCCATTGACCCTCACCACTCGCTGTCAATTTTACAAACCATACAGGAATCCCTTCTCAGGCACGTCAAAGAAGGCAGAGAAAGCCCGACTCAGAGATCATTAGAAAAGGCTATCGTAACATTAGGGAAGCCATATGCACGTACTTTATGCATGTCTCTGCTGCGCCGAGATGGTGCCTTTTGAGTCGTGTCGACCTACCCGCCCTCACTGCATCTGATCCGAATGGCCTCTGGAATGTTGATTTTTGTTGATAGCTCGATTACCTAGATTGGACCCTAGGTGCAGGATCCTGACACGCGGACGCGCTTGACAGCGCGCTTTCAACTTCCAGCGTCCTGAATACGGAGACACTCATCTTCGCCATATCACGAGAGCAAAATACGAGTATCGAGGTGAAGTCGCAAGTCGCTCCGGGCTACTTCAACCATGTCTATGTGATTCAAACGGACACGGGCAAGCTATGGGCAAGCTATGGTGTCTTCGTATACTAGTGGACGAGTCCGCGGTCCGTGCTGCTAAAGGCACAAGAGTCTTGAAGAACGTGAAAGATGCGTAGACAGGTCGTTAGGGGTTTAAGGCAGTGGGCTAGTGCACGAGCGATGATTCAATTAACTTTCGAGCTCCGCAATGAAGGAGAGGTATAAGTATACCAACCCCCTCCTCCCTCACTCTCCAAAGCGTCGGCCCCGTCTGTCTCGGGATCGTTCCATTCCTTGTCCTCGCCAACACATTTCAATACCGGATGGTCTGCTAGCAAGTCATTGCTACCAATTCTCTGCTGCAAATTCTCTGCTGCAAATTATCTGCTACCAATTCTCTGCTTCAAATTATCTGCTGCCAATTCTCTGCTGCCCGACCCGATGTTGTTGCCGCAATGGTTGCGATAATTGGGATTGCCAAAGACCTTGTCACCATAAGTAAAAGAACGATTAGAAGCAGAGAGTACACGGGCAGGTAGTGGCAAGCATATAAGGGGGGCTCAATCCCGACGGAATCCGTATCCTCGGCCCAACTAATCCAACGTTCAATGTTGTAACTTCCTCCATAATGAGTCTCATAAAGGAGAAATCGAAATACTTCTCCTGGAAATCGAAAAGCGCCAGAGGGCAAGAGCCAGTGGAGGAAATCGGTGGTAATTGGCTACAAGGTATCCAGACACAAGACTTGAGTCGGAAGGATGGACAATCACGGGATTTGTATGATACTGTATAACAAGCGCCTGCCGCTCTAAGCCTCTGATCAATGTTTACTGGGAAGAAGAACTAAGCACGGATGAAAACATGCTTTTGACGCGCTTGGGCGTGGAGAGACCCCCCGATATGCATGACCTTCTCTGTCATTCCCTGGCTATTATATACAGTGATGGTCGTGTATGAACGATCTCCAATTGTGAGACCTTTCGGTTTCTTTTTAGCACGTTACAGGTTAAATCAGTATGCGAGTAAAGAAGTGCGCAACGCCTTTTCAGTGTCCCGTATGCATTTGGCTAGTTGCACATCCGCTTCCTTCATGTTTGCCGTGCCTTGGTTACAATCCAGGCGCGCATTCTCATGGACTGCAAGCTTAGACAACAGCACTCCCATTACGTTCATTCTACCTTCGACGCTATGTTCATCTGGTTGTGTCAATAATTGAAGGTCTGACCTGCCAACACTTAGGTCTGGCACAAGCTGTTCGCGCAACTCCTTGACGACACATGAGACAGGTCTGGTCTTGTTTGTGGTGAAAAATGTCCTGTAATGCTTGCTGCGGAAGACATGTACATTGGAGGGTATTTCAATCGCCGCTGGCATTGTTATATCAGGGATACGAGGCGAAATACTCCTGATCGAGGGGAATGTGTGATGATGACCTGAGAGCTCGATCAGAGGCACTCCATCTTGCTTTTCAATGGCCAATTTCGGGCCTAATTTCCGTCCCTATATCAGGGCCCCTTTCAACAATTATTTACATGCCGTGAAGGACGTAGATTACGGGAATAAAAATAGGCCATCGTGGACCCTATATGGGGTTATACGCTCGATACCAACGCAAAGGGTATTCCCAACACATTACCACATTGCTTTGAATACTAGCTGTTGCTTGTTTCAGAGGGTATGGACGTGATGCTTCTCATTACTATACGCGTTTGACACTGCAACGTCCCCATTGTGAATTTGGTCTACCTCCCAAGTATTAGTTTGAGGGGGGTTTAAGTCAGACACAAGGACCATGAATCCGAGGATAAAGCTTCTCAAGCTAACTAATGATTTTAAGCACTTTTTGGTTGGGATGGGTCTTCCAAAGTCATACTGGAATTCTCAAGCGTGAGGTTGGGGATTCCCAAAAGGGCCATAACGAATCTTAGCGAAGGGCCCAAAATGGGTCACGAGAGCCGCAAGAACTGGGCGCAATCATACGAAATCCACAATGGCGAAGTCAGGTGGCGAGTATTCGCGCAACAGGGCCCCCAGTGCCAACAACGCCCATGTCCCTCGGGCCTTGAACAAGGCGATGAGGGGACTTGACTATACATCTTACTAGTCACTCACTTTTGGTCCAACACGATCATCAAGTTCACAGAAATGGGCCTTGCCCTTGAAATGGGACCCGACTGTCGGATTGGAATATATATATGGGCCAGACAATCTGTGTCGGCTTTGGTTGACCGTGCGCATCAAGCAACCACATTGTTCCAAAAATGTCTCGACGATTCCGCGATGCAGCCACGCTGGCTGTTCTTCATTCAACCACTTCTCACGCTTTTCAATCGCCTTCCTCACTTTGTCTATCAGCACCGCCGCTGCCACTGGTTGCTGGTGTCTCTAATGTCTCAGCGGTGTCCGTTGCCATCCTTCCAGACAAACAAGCCCGTATCGTATACTAACGTTCATGGATATAACAGATTAGATGTCGCGTTTTGGGAACAATGTCGTGCCTTCCTATGCTTCTCCGACCCAGACTTTCCACCTATCACCTTCACCTTTGATTCGAGTGACTGTGTCGGCAGTGAGACTGCTAGTTTTATAGTCCCTGACGGCGTGCCCAACGGAGATGCACTTGTCATTTGGTACAGTGATCAAGTGTTCGTACAAATGGCAAATAGCTAATTATAGTCCGCAGGGAATGCGAAGGCTTTTCTTCTGCGTGCACCCAGGCCAACATCACGCAGGGAAAAGCGGCCAACAGCTCGCCTCTGTACCCTCATCAAAACGGCACTCTCAACTGTGTGTACGGTCCTACATCGACGCAGGAAACCGTGCTGCCAGCGTTTGCTGTCCCAAATACTCCTTCGTCGAGCGTATCAGACATAGACTCTCCTTTTGCCTCGGAAAGAGCAACAGCAGACCCGGGCATCACTTCAAGCCAGAATGCAGCATCAGCCATAAGTGCCAGTGCTACCCCGGATTTGCTGGCGGGAAGCACCGGCACTTCTACATCGGGCATGAATAGCAGTCCTACTATATCTGTTGATGCCGCTCCGTTCTCCACGATCACTAATCTCTTTCCGATACCAGATCTTGGTACTAGCACGTTCATACTAACCCAGACGATAACCACGCTGCTAACAAAGACCACGACACTGCCGGTCAGCGCGTAAGAACGTTATATTTGACGAACGCTACCTATGAATCACTTCGTTCTCAAGATGTTGTGTTGGTAATTTTGATTTTCTGCTTCTCCATTTGGCTTGTTTTCATCTCAAAGGTGCACAAGACCCATCTTGTCAGCGTTCATATGAATGCAAGCTGTGGATGCT